TCACAAGAGTAGAATTTATGTCTTGCACAGCAAAAACTATGGGCAGAACAGAAAAACTGAAATTTGCGATGGAAAGCCTTACCAAAGAAACAAAGGAGAAAACAATAGATTGGGATTACAACTACAGAGAAGTGAAGGACAGTCTAGAAGAAGAGAAGCAAAAAACAAAACAATAACATTAAAAGAAAATATGCAAACGGTGCAAGCAAAACATACCGATCTCTACAACAGGGTGCGTAGAGACAACCTGGAGACCTAAAAAAATACCGAAGAAAGTAACACCTTAAAAAGTAGCCTAACCCAAATGGCAAGAGAGGTCCAAAAAGCCAATGAAGAGAAGAATGCCCTATAAAGCAAAATTGGCCAAATGGAAAAGGAAGTCCAAAAGCTTACTGAAGAAAATACTTCCTTAAAAATTAGAATGGAACAATTGGAAGCTAGTGACTTTATGAGAAATCAAGGCATTGTAACACTAATCCAAAGGAATGAAAAAATAGAAGAGAATGTGAAACATCTCATTGGAAAAACAACTGACCTGGAAAATAGATCCAGGAGAGAGAACTTAAAAATTATTGGACTGTCTGAAAGCCATGATCAAAAAAAAGAGCCTAGACATCATCTTTCAAGAAATTATCAAGGAAAATTGTCCTGATATTTTAGAACCAGAGGGCAAAATAGAAATGGAAAGAATCCACCAATCACCTCCTGAAAGAGATCCTCAAAGGAAAACTCCTAGGAATGTTGTAGCCAAATTCCAGAATTCCCAGGTCAAGGAGAAGATATTGGAGGCAGCCAGAAGGAAACAATTCAAGTATTGTGGAAACACAGTCAGGATAACACAAGATTTAGCAGCTTCTACATTAAGGGACCATAGGGCTTGGAATATAATATTTCAGAGGTCAAAGGAGATAGGATTAAAACCATAGGACTACCTATGAAGGAAAGACATAGGAGGGAATGAAATAATGTGTTCCAAAGAGCAGTGGAGTTCCAGATGCTGCCCATGGTGACCTATCCTGAAAATCTGAATTAACTATACATGAAAAAAAGAAAAGGTGGACATTCATAATGAAGAGATATTTGAAATATTTTTCAAAAGAAACCTAAAACTGAAGAGATTATTTGTTTCTTAAATACCCCAAATAGCAGAAAGGCAAGAGTAAGTACAGCAGGGAAGGACAGCAATAGCAACAGTGACAGCAGAGACACCAGTAAGAGACATCTTTATGAATGTGCACAAGATGGCAGGCGAAGGCAGAAAAGTGGACACAGTGAAGAAGTAGATGGGGGCATTATGGCCAGAACCTGGTGACAGCCTGACTGCAAGTCAATCAGTGTTTTGTTTTGTTTTGTTTTGTTTTTCATGGGACTATATTATAACAGGAGAAAGTACATGAAAGGGGTGGGGAGAAGAGGAAAGAGAGGACTACGTGGTGAGATCAAATCAAAAGCTAGTAACAAGGAGATGTGACTCCTATGGCCTCAGGAAGAGAAGACTCTACCGGGGGGTTGGGGGGAGAGGATTGAAAAGGGGACGAAAGGAAGAAGGCCCTACTTTCTTGGTGGGAGGGTGTTCTACTGATGAATGCTTCAGTGGATGAAGACAGAAGGTCTGTGAAGGGTGAAGGGGCCTTACTCTGGTTGTGTCTTAGGGGATTTCATGATTGAAGTCTACTCATCTTGTATTGGGAAGGAGGTTAGTTAGAAACCATGGGAGCAGCTGGACCCAGGGAGGAGAAATTTGGAGGCAAATGGGAAAAGAAAGGTAACTGGTGATGTGGGAGGATACAGATCAATGGCAGGCTGCATAATCAGAGACTGAGAGTGAGGTAGCCTAGGCTGGTATCCCCTCTGACGTGTGCAATCATTGGCATTGTTCTGGGAGTGAGGCACAGTGGAAAAGGGGAATCCATGGGGTGAGTTCTACAAGACAGTATCAGAAACTGCCTAGCAAGGAGATCCTAGAATGGATACTTTGGAAGTTTTGGTTGGATGAGGAATACAGAGAAAAGAAGGTGATCAAGCAATTATAGGGGGATCGGAACCAGATAATGAGGGTCTAGAGCCAACAGAATGGTTAATGAAAAGAGTAAACAAAATCTTTTGGAAAGGGGTATAAAAAATGAAATTGAAAAAACTGTTGTTCAAGAGTAGTTGAAAGAGAAGAGGAAGGGGGAATCTGCATGTCTAAGTGAGAGAGAAAAGTGGGGAGAGAATTATTAAAACAGATAAAGGCATGAAAGAAAAAGGAAGTAAAGCAATAAACAAAAACCCAAAGGGAAAAGGGTAACAAAGGAGAGGAGATGAGGGGTGAGGGGAAGAGGACCAGTGGGAACAGAGCCACCTTAAAAAAAAAAAATTAAGGTAAAGTAACTGAAGGAACATAATCCTTGTTTACAGCAGAAGAGGAAAAATATATATGTGTGTATGTATATGTATATATGTATGTGTGTGTGTATATACGTATATGTATGTATGTATGTATCTTGGGAAAAGCCCAATATTAGAGATAGATGGAGGAAAATCTAAACCTCACTCTCATGTGAATGGATTAAACAATACAATTATTTGGAAAAGAGTGACAGATTGTATAAGAAAACAAAAATCTACAATCTGTTGCTTACAGGAAACACATTTGAAAACAAAAACATACACAAAATAAAACTGAGGGGATGGAAAAAGAATTTACTATTTATCAAATTAATCCAAAAAAGTAGAATTTGTGGTCATGCTACCTGACAAGCCAGAAACAAACATTCACAATTTTTTTTTAAAGATAGAAAAGGAAACTATTATACTGAAAGGAACTATCGGGAAAGAGACCTTAAAGGTCATCTAGTTCATCCCCTGTGTTTTAAAGACGAGGAAACTGAGTCCTGGGAGAAGTGACTTGCCCAAAGTCACAAATGTAGTTAATTGACAGAACAGAGATTTGAACTCATGTCCTCTGACTCCAAGCCCTGTTTTCTCACTGTGCCACATACCATGCAGCCTTCTGGGAAGGCTAACAGTTCTGATGTAGACATCGTGGACCAAAAGGAAAGTTATACCTCTGGGCTGCAAAGTGAGAGAAGAATGCATCTTAGTGAATTTCCTCTAGAAAAAGAAAATTTATCCCACTCCTAAAAAGTAAAGTTTCTCATATGTGTGTGTATGTAAATATATATATGTATGTATGTGTGTATATATATACATATACATATATACACATATGTACGTATTTATTGAGATACTAATAATAATGTTTTGTTATGAAAAATATATTAATCTATGTAGTGGAAAGATGTCAGAATTAAGCATCAGAAGATTTGGATTCTAATCTCATCTCTGTCACTAGAACCTGTGTAGCCGTGGGCAAGTCACATGACCTCTCTGAGCCTCATTAGTAGAGTAGTAGGGTAGGACAATTAGCCTCTTGGTCCTGAGGGACCTCCAAGTCTTTTCTGGAACATTATCCTTTAATTTTTTCACATCTTGGTGATTCAGGTAAGATGCAAACCAGACTTGTCTATCTTAGAGCATACCACTAGGAAACAGTACCCCTCACATTATAGAAGTTAAAGCATATTTTTGTCCAAGTGTGGGCAGTATTCTTTACGCTAAACGATTTCCAGCCATACAAGCAAAATTTTGTAGGCTCTTTAAAATTCAGTTTCATGTAAGCCGTATTTGTCTGTAATACTGTACAGTATGTACTACTAACATAGCAACAGAAAAATTGAGCACTCTGCCACCAAATGTTATTTGAACCGAGAAAAAGGCAAGAAATACACAATTAATTTAAATTAAAAGCCTGCATCAATTCCTTATGTTAAGAACTATTTACTTTATCTCTTGAAGATGATGGATTATAATAACGTCCTTGAAAATACTGTAGTACTATAGTATATAGCATATATATACTACAGCATAGTAGAGTCCAGTTAAGTGTAGTATTAAAGTATAGTATATGTAGTACAGTATAGTTAGTAGAATGTAGTAGAGTATACTGTATAGTATCAAAATATAATATAAAAGTATAGTATTATACTAAAGTATAGGTATAGTGAAGTATAGTGTAGTGTAGTATTAAAAAGTATAGTATAATGTAGTATAGTATGGTAAGATATAGTATAATAGTAAAGTATAGTATAATGTAGTTTTGCAAAGTGTAGCATAGTGTAGTAAAGTATAGTGTAGTTAGTACAGTATGGTGTGGCGTGGCTTGGCGTGGTGTGGTGTATGTCTTTGTTGCCACAGATCTTTCTGGAGTCCAGATCTCAGAAAGTCATGTCATTGTCTCTTGCTGCCGGGACTGTCCACAAGAGCAGCTTGGACTTGCTAGGTGTCCAGCAGGCCTCGGAAGGCTCACAGCTTGCCCATCACCAGGCAGGCCTCCTTATATCCCCTGATCTTTCACCTCAAGATCTCACTTTCGTTGTAGAATGACCCACTTGTAGCCTATATCTGTACTGTTGGTATGACGTGACGCGACGTGACGTGACGTAACAGCCCCCTGCCACCATTGCATACTGTTGTATTAATGCCAAATGCTTTCTGAATGCTGCTCGGCATCATTCGCACTCCATCTTAGCCTAATATGATTTGATTGTTCTTGCTCCAGCCTTTTTTTTTCCAAGTACAACTGTACTTTTTCACACATTCCTCATTCATACTGCCCCTTTCACAATTTTTATGTTTCTGTTTGTGTGAAACTTGTGAGATGGGCTTATATTCTCCACAGAAAAAGAAAAATGGTGTTCAGTAAGTTTTTTGTTTGAAGAAATGATGGTAATTTATTTTTATTGAATGCTTTAAGACTTACAAAGCACTTTGTGTACACTATTTCATGTGATTTGAGCCATTTGTTTGTTGGTGATTAATTTAATTTGAAACTAAGCCACATTGTATTTTCTGTTTTCTCAATTTCTCTTTCTCTCTCTCCTCCCTTTCCCTCTGTCCTCCCTTCCCTTTCTCTCTCTCTCTCTCTCTCTCTCTCTCTTTTTTTTTTTTTTGGTAAGGAATATGACTGGACAAACTACCAGCCAAGCCAGATGAGTGAATCTGAGCTGCAGATGCTGGCCAGCATGAGAAGGCAACAGATTGAAGAACTGGAAGATGTCGGGGCCTCTCATGGTCTGAGTGCATCTCAGGTTGACAATTGTAACGTCAGCATCAGTAGCAGCAGTGACGATACCACCACGTGGAACTCCTGCCTGCCACCAGTGAGTCAAAATGTTCTTTCTCCATCATTGTTTTTCAGTGCCATAACTCAGAAAGTCAGAGCCAAAAGAGGGTGTTTACCAGCTGAGTCCATGTTTTTTCACTGTCTTATTCACAATCATTTATTAATTGTTCAGAGGTATAGGATATACTCAGTTCAGTGAGTTTTTATTAAGTGCCGACTGGAGACAAAATACAAGAAGGAACAATTCCTGCCCTCTGAGTGCTTACTTGCAAGGAAACAGTTGGTCCACAATTAAGTAAATACAAGATGTATGCAAGGGAATTCAGTGGTGGGAAGAGATTTCTTCTACTTGGGAGGCATCAAGAAAGGTCACCTATAGGAAGTGTCATTTGAGCTGAGCTTTGAAGGGACATGGCCAGATTCTAAGAGGCAGAGGTGAGGAGGGAGAGCAGGTAGGAGAAAAACCAAAGCATAGTAAATGGAGAGCAGGAGGTAGGCCAGGCTGGTGGCTGTACCAAAGGGTATGTGAGAGGAAATAACGTGAATCAGCCTGGAAATGTAAGCTGACTTCCCATGTGTAATCAGTATCATATTGCTCACTTTCTCAAGGAGGAGGGTAGGACAGGAGGGTGAGAATTTGGAGCTCAAAACTAATTTAAAAAATGATAATAATTAAATTAATTTTATTAATTAATAGGTTAATAATAAACTAGCTTAAATTAATTAAAATTAAAAATAATAAATAATAAAACCTGTTTTACATGTAATTGGGAAATATTTAAAGATAAGCTGGAGACAGTTGTGGAGAGCTTTAATATTGTACATAGTTTTAAAACGTGCCCTCAAGGAACTGATAGTCTGGTTGGAGAGACAGTCAGTAGACACATCGTTATGGTGTAGAGGTGCTATGAACCCCAAAATGCAAGGACAAAGGGCACAGATCTGCCTCAAAAGAATTTGACTAATCAAGCCTTCTTTCAGTCAGAGACAAGGTTTATCATGTTGGCAATAGAAGCGGGTGGGATTTTAAGGATCAGGGCACTTGGTAGCGACAAGGCTGACTTTTTTTATAGGGAAAAGGTTTGTGGGGAGATTTGGATGGGATCAAGGAGAGGCTAATAACCTGGGGTGACCTGGAGGTAACGGACAATGAAAGACTGGGCTGGGTCAAAAGTAGTAGAGAGTTGAAGATCGGGGCTGTGTCAGAGCCTCCATGAAGGATTATTGAGTATCTCGGTGGGGCTGTGTGGGAATGTTCAGGAGCTGGGTCACGTTTTTTGGGGTCCAGGTCCCGTACCCTGTCATTATGATGTATTAAATAATCATTCAGAAAATAGCTCTCAGTTCCCTCCAGCAGCCCGAGAGCTGACCCAGGCCAGCATGGGATTGATTGCCAAATGCCTCGAGCAGGCCGGGAGGGCTCTTGGCTTTCAGGGGAGGGAGGCAGGGCTGGAATAGGCGGAGGAGATCTCAAAAGTGGAAGGATGGGAGGATTGGAGGTGAAGTGAAGTGACTCCTTCATTGGGTTTTCTGGCTTTCCCCATGGTGGCGTTCCCTTCTGTTAGTTATGCTGTCATTAGAGGAGAGAGATTCGGACTCTTGCTGCCTCAGACAGACCTATATTCCACTGAATAGTCATGCGCTGCATGGAACCAGGATGTGGAGATTGGGGCTGGAGCAGCGAGTAACAAAGGCAACTCCTGAGAGTTGCAAATATAATTTGCAACAGAATTGAAGTTTTGCCTTATAAAAGCATTGCACAAAAGCAATTTAAGCCTCTAGAAAGGAAACTGTGGACTCTGATAAATTCTCTTTGTGGAGCCGCTCAGAGAGTGACAAAATAAAGGAGGAGCTAAAGTCAGGATTATTTATGCCCTGAAAGAGCCAGACTGCTTGTTGCCTTGGATACTGTGTTCTCCGCATCCCAGCTCTGTTCTCTGGCGGGCGGGGAACTGAGGGAGGGTGGACCGCATGAGTGCCTTCCTCTCCCTGGTGCTGCTGCTGTTGTTTCTAATCACATATATGTCTTTTGGATAGAATGAGACGATTGGAAATAGTCCATTGTTACACAAAGAAAAAAATTTAAGGCCTTACCTTTGATCTCAGAAGGTACATTTGTCATTGCATCAGATTCAGAGTCTTCGGAAATCAGGTCTCTGTGGTCTAGAATGCAAAAAGGCAGTAGCAAACTCTGCACCTTGTTCTTTGTGTAAGGCCTAAATACAGCGATCTATAGATATGGTCCAAATTTCACTAAGAGAGCCACAGTGGAGGAGCATTGGAAGGGGAGTCATCTAAGAGCTCATCACTAGCTTCAGGGCAGTGACATGGTATGGGGTAATGAGATAGTGTCTATAATTGCTTTGAGCTATGAAGGAAAGTAACACAGTAATTATGTTTGTAATATTAAGTCCTCTAGAGAAAAGGAAGAATAGTCATCACAGGAATTCTTGTCATCTAGTTATGGGCACTTCTGGGTGGTTTGTTTTTTTCCCCTTTGTCTGGCCCTGTGACTTCATTGGTATACAGACCTCTCAGTGTAGAAGTTCCGTCTGCTGAGGCAGCGGGGCTACTCCTCTACAACTTCTGATATTCAGGAGTTGCCTGAGCCCCTGAGTGGTCCAGTGACTTGCCCAGCATCCTACAGGCAATATAGGTCAGAGGCAGGACTGAATCCAGGTCTTCCTGACTCCTGGAGCTGCCCTCTGTCCATACTCTTCCACACTGTGCTATTCAAAAGTAACACTTCAACCATATTTAAAAATCAGTCCATGAACACTTATCAGGCGCTCCAAGAGTGTGCATTTGTGTTGTCGTCGTTGTTGTTTTTCCCCCCACGCTGCTCAAATTCCAAACAGCTTCAATATACTCCCAGAATAAAGATCTAACTCTTGAGATGGTCCGGTGATCAGCAGAGAAGCAGTGACTTGGGCAGGTCAAGCTTGGTTTATCGTATTTTCCGTAATGACTTCACACATTCTAGTCTGAAAACGGACAAGCCCACACAAAATAAAACGCTGCCTCTCTTGCAGAGTCCACAGCCTCCGCAGGACTTGGGCTTCCCAGCTTCCCAAGCGATGCAATTAGATGTTTACGAAACAGCTGCTCTGTGCGAGGCACAGGACGAGCCCTTGTTGGTTCAAAGATTGAAGTGATACGGTCCTCCGTTCATGAGCTCTGAGGACAGGACCTGCATACGGAAGTCCCAGAAAGGTGCTGTGAACAACTTGAATAGGGAGAGGTGGAGAAGATGTCACCTAAGTTGGGCCTTGAATAAGGGACTTTGGCGGAAACTGGAAAGAGTGAGTCCTTTCCAAAGATAGAAGATGACTCATAACAAAGAAAGTCCCAAAAGGAGACGGAGAAATGCCCTGTTTTCATTATTAGCAGTATAATTCAGAGTAATATGTATAAATTAAAGTGTGTTTAGATACACTTGTAAAGTTCTCAATTAATATAATTAATGTAGTCATTATTCTTGTTGCAAATTGTCTTTTGTGGGCATCTCTAAGTACATCAAGCCCCCTGGGAAACCCGTTAGACTTTGATAGACAAATTTTTCAGCATTTCAACTTGTAAGGAAATTCAATTAAAATAATGCTTTGCAACTTCTGTGAAAATCAGGTTTCAAGTAATCAGTTTTGTTCAGTTTCTGTTTAGTGGCACTCATGACAGCCTGGGGAAAGGAGTAGTAAGAGACTTCTAATGGATTTTTAAATGAATTTAGAATTTTGAGCAATTTTGATTGACATCAGTAGAAAAATCAAACCCTGTTAACTCAGAGTTTTTTTAAAGAGCAATTAAAGGACAAGATTTCTTATAATAATCATTCTAATGTGATGGCAGGTAGAATATCAGGAAGAAGTATAACTGAGCTTCCTTCCCCCCAACCCAAACTCACAATATCTCAAAAAAGATTTAGGAAATGTACTGGACTGAGTCCTTATTGGGACATCCAAGAAAAAAATGACAGTCATTTGTTGAGGCCAAATCCACACTGGGAGACAGGCAGAGAAATCTGTGTACCCTGGAGATCGCGGGGTCTAGCCAGGCACACCCGTATGGGGCATTCCAGCACAGGGGGAGCAGTGCATCAAGGACAAAAGAGGCTACAAATCCATCTAAGAGGAGCCCAGCCTTACACAGGCCTGCAGCTGCTTTGCGCACTACCTAGTCCTGGATCACAGCTCTAAGGCTGACTGAGGAGCCATGAGTGGCAGTCCAGGGTGAGCAGAGATCACAAGCCCTGGGCTTTAAACCGAGCGAGGAGCAAGTTCAGAAGCCTCGTGGTTCTGACCCCAGGAGCGGAGCATGATTTCCTATTCAGTCTCCAGTCCAGTCTGAAGCCTGCAATAGAATGACAAGGATAGGAATCCCAAACCATAGGGAACCTGTAGATCTGTCATTCTGAACCCCTGCTGATGTGTTAGAGCAACTCCTCTGCAATCCGTAACCTTTGAAAGTTGCCTATGCCACCGAGAGTCTCAGTGACTTACCCAGGGTCACACACACACACACTGTGTTGGAAGCAGGACTTGAATCCAAGTGTCAAGGAAAAATAGCTGCCTCATAGTGACTGAGTCCAGCAACAGTCCACTGGAACTCCAACCAGGAGAACCCCAGAGGCATGTTGCTCAGACCCGAGCCCAGGTCAGGAACTTACAGAGCTCAGATGGGGATGAAGGTATGGGGAATGGGGAGAAGATAGAAGAGAAGGCTATACAGTGATCAGACTTTGCCCTTGATCATACCATTTTTTTTAAGGCAGTTGGGGTTAAGTGAGTTGCCCAGGATCACACAGCTAGCAAGTATCAAGCGTTTGGTCTGAGACTGGATTTGAACACATGTCCTCCTGACTTCAGGGCCGGTGGTCTATCCACTGCGCCACCTAGCTGCCCCTAGATTGTACCATTTTGAGAGCACTGAAAATTTGCAGGTCCCCAGACTGAGCTGTCTCTGAGATCCTGGATTTACAAGTACTCCAATAAAGTAGCAGTAAGACCCTCCCAAAAATTCCCTCTTAAGTGCACAGAGCCT